AGCAGGCCACTACCTTCTGCGAGGCGTGCGCTTTTTTTTTTCTTTTCCACCCCCCCTGTCATCAACTAGCTAAGTAAATCGGTTGATAGATTTTTAAACAGCACAGTCACGCGTGGAAGAGTTAGAGCAATTTACCAAAACAGTAATTATCACCTTTCAAAGACTTTTCTTCTTTTTTTTCAAGTTCCAGTTTGGGTTGGTGTGTTCTGCCTTTCTTTTAGACAAACAAACCAGTCCCATCCTGTTATATATCTCTCTGTATTTTTTTTTTCCCTGCTCATATATTTCAAGTTTGGAATCGGTGCTGGTAAAAGTGAGATCTGTCTTTTCAACTCTTTCACAGAGCCCAAGCGCTCATTAGCAATTGTCTAAACGGCCTCGGAGCAGACAGCACCGGGCCGTTCGGGCAGCCCATGCTTCTTTGGGGAAATCATATCATAAACGGTGTGGTTTTACTGGTGCTTCCCAAAAAGTGCATCTTTGCACCCCAGCGTATGTCAGACACAGAAAGCGATAACAGCGCTGATGCACACCTCAAGGGGCAAGGTGCCACAAACGTGTATTTTGACATTTCACAGGCATTTTCTTGGGAGAGTTTCTCGTCTAATATGTTTTTTAGGTAAAAGCAGATAGCTGCTAAAAGTTCTAGCAGACTAATAATCTTATTGAGGGTTAAAATGCTAAATGCAGATGTTGGTGTATAAATAAAAAACAAAACCAAAATTCTCCAGCACTTATGTTTTCTCCCTAAACCCCTGTTTACTCTATCACCAGTAGTGCACACAAAAAAAGAAAAAAAAAAAAAATAAAAAAAAATAAGAGGACCTTCCTGGGTTTTGGCGTCTCTCTGAATTTACAAAAAAGAAATTTAAAAGGACAGATTTTTGTCCAAGTCAACATGTGAAAGGTGTAGGGTGCTAGACATTCAAAAGGCTGCTGCTAGGACGTTCCAAGACAGTAAAACATATAAGGGGCAATTAAGCGCTGAAATTTTGGATTTAAATCCAGTATCTATTAACTCCTTTCTGGTTTTAGAGTATTTTATGTTTTAAATATTTCATTAGTATGATTCCAAATTAAACTGGCTTGTCTCTGCAGAAAGCAATGTACATCCAAGTTTATCCAAGAATATAGTGAACGCAGTCTTATGCAAAAAATACAACCACAGATGGAGAGATATGAAAAAGCTACCTGAAACCTGCTGCTTTTTTCCTACAAACTTATGCTCCCAGTGAAGTCTCCAAACTAATTAGAATTGATTTATTATGGATCAGGTACCTTATCAGGTGAAGAAAGAAATTACCATGGACAGTCAAAGGGTTGAGAGGTCAATACAGAATAGCAAAATCAATTTGCATTGATTAGACAAAAGGTCCATTTTACAGAGCCCAAAGGATTAACTTTTAAGCAAACATCTTTGAACTATAAAACAGCATTTGTGACTGAGAGGTATAAGCGGTGCAGCATTAGAAAACACTTAAGATATTTAAATAAGAAAATAATGCAAGCAATGGTTTAAGCTATCTGGATGTTTATTTTTTATTATGAATCATCCCCAGGATTATTGTACAATTCACTTGAAAGCCCTATGGAAAGGATGCAATTGTTTCATTTATCCCGCATGTCAATCTTCCCATGAGTTTTCATTCAGGTAAGGTGACTAAACTCGGGAGAGTTGCAGAGAAGGGAGAAAATCTGTGCAAAGGATCGCACTAATCCCGGTGTTGCTTGCGATGAAATATTTACTTGGCAAACCTCGTGTTTTACCACCAAAACCGGTAAGACTTTTTTTTTTTTTTCCCAGTGAGATACTGTTGTAAAACAGATCTGAAACACTAAAACGAAAGAGGCTCCCTTCTGTGGGTCACCCCTTCCATTTTCTGCGGCACCCAAAGCAGCGCAATGCCGCAGGAAAGCCAGGAGAGCATTACTGCAACAAAAAATAATAAACCCTGGACAAATACTCTTTTTCTCATCACTTTGTTTTCAAAGTTTATTCCATATTTCTTTGTCCCATATCTTGGACTTCCCCCTTCCCCCCCAATAAAACTTAAGAATGGGATCGTGGACCCAGCGTATTTGCTGTGTGCTATCCTTGAAACAATGTAAATATCAGCATTAATTCTTAACTGGGCTTCAGAAAAGCCTCCATGTTTGGTGCTTTCAGGTAGCCACCTTCGGCAGCAAGCATTTTCCTTCCCTCGGTACCCAGCATTGCTCTTTCCTTCAATATC